AAAAAAATGAAACTTTTGATTTTGAGTTTTACCAATTAGATAAATTTGTTGTTGTAGAAATGGCTAGCTTAACTATTATATAAAAGTAAAAAGTTGAGATTTGATGTTATTATCTTATGCTACTGCACCAAAAGGAGTCAGAAGTCAATGCCTTTTCTTTCTTTTTCCCTTCTTTTCTACATTTTTCCCTTCCCTTTTTCCTCCCCTATTTTTCCTATTATTTGCTTTTGTATTTTTGTATTTTATATTATAAACTAATTTTAAAAAATACAAATGCTGAGAAGCTAGATCTTTGAACACCACTGCCACCAATCTCTCTTCTTCTTTCAAGTGAGAGGCTCTGCCCTGAAATGCTTTTGAGTTGTTATGGGGACATTAACCTAAATAGGTATTTCTTCCATCAACTGGACCATCTCACATAATTATCAGAGTAGCCCATAAAACACAGATACAGGTAACCAACCCATCATAAGTTGAAACAAGGCTGTTCCTGTTGCTTTGGGGGGGGGGAAATACTAAGGTTATACTGGATTCTGATTTAGTTTTTAAATTAGAAACAAAACAGAGATGTGGCAGTTAATTATTGCTGAAGATAAAAAAAATATGGAAGTCTACTTTGCCAATGAATTGTGTTGAAGGAAGGAGACAGATGGGAGAGGCCCTTGAGAATCTCAAAATGACAACCACATTGAAAACTAAAAGATGCTGAAATGTCTTCGAACACACTTTCCCTGACATTTCCACACAATGAAATGTAAGGGTCAACGGTATTGAAACAAATAAGCAGTTTCACTCATTTGCGCTTATGAAAGCAAGTGACCTGAGCCATTGTTGTCATTTTAGGCACTTTTTTGTTCTTAATATCCAAACACAGCAGCCTTTTTTATTTTATTTTGAAAAAATTACTACGGCCACCTCACTTGCATTTTTCCTTTTCTTTGGCATTTTCACTTCATAAAAGCTGCAGTCAATGTGTTTTTTGTGTGTGGTGAGAAGGGATGACATTTCCAGTGGTGGTCTTGTCCACAGTCTACATTGGTGGCTCAAGTAGTCTCAGGATTAGGTCTTTGTGTGCAATGAAAGGATATGAAAAGTCACTTATTTAAACTCAGTCAAGCTGTTGATTTTGGGGAGGGAAAAAGGGGTTTTTCAATTCACCGGCTTCAATAAATCACTGGCCTTTTCTTTCTCATTCAAGGGCAGCTGCAGATAGCACACAATGTTCCCCCAGAATCAAAACAAAATCTTAAGATTTTTTTTAATGCAACATTTAGAAGGGGCAAGAACATAAATTAAAGTTAACAGATGTATATTTCCAAATATTCTGCAAAACCCTCCAGTCAGTATGCTGCGTTAAAGAGAATCTGAAAATGCCTTGCAAGATAATGTTAACACTTTTAGAAAGAAAGAAACATACCCATGCAATGTTTAAAACAGGAGGTAAAAGAGGGAGGAAAATATGGATATATAAAAAGGAAATGGGGAAAAAATTTGATTAGCACATTTGGCATAATTTATTAGTGAATAATTTTTAGAAATGGCAGTATAGAGTCAAAGGATTACTGTACTCTTAAATTTTTACAGCTCCAGTTCTTTTAAAATATTTAAGCTTGCAGTCCTAAACAAGATTAAACACTGTATGAGTTATCCCTGGCTAAGGATACATAGAATTGCATTGTGCATGTGGCAATTTTAATAGTATTTTGCAAAGCATAACAAAATAATTAAAAAGTAGAACCATCAACTACAAGGAAACTTACTCTCTGGTAATCATTTTCAGTAATATACATTATCATGTAAATAAATTCCATTGAAAACAAACTAGCACTTTTTCAAAGATACTGCTAAAGGTCACAGCAACATTCTAGCATTTACTGCACAATTGGGTGAGAGGAAAAATTTCCTCTAGTCTACATATAGATAGATTTATTTGTGCAAAACTAAAATATTCAACTGCTGGAAAAGCAAAAAACAACAACCCTGGAATGAGTCTAAATGACCCTACCACAACTTGGAAAATGAACTACTTCTTCAATGCAAATCGTCTCAAGAAAAGCTTCTGCACACAAAGTGTGAGGAACTGGTTACAGCATTGTTTATTGAGTTTTACTTGATTCCTCCTGACAACCATTTGAACAATGACTATTGGGAAATGTCTCTCAAATTGTCAACAACAATAGCAAAGGCTCAGTGCTTTTATTCTCAGTTAATACTGATTCCCCCCCTCCCCTTTTTTTTAAAGAAAGAGAAAATATTTCTTCCTGAAGAGATTAGAGGTTCTCTTATAAAAGACACCTGCAAACAAAACAAACGACAAAAGATCTTTATTATATTCAATAATAGGGATCTATTGTACAAACCTGGGCTTCTCCAGACACAAATAAACCAGAAGCCCTTCACAATTCAACTAAAATACTTCAGCTAAATCAATGCAGTCCACAATTAAGAGAGGGAAATTTTTAAGGAGGGAGTATATAAACTGAAAGCTGGTAACATCCCATACATCATTTCAGAAGTATGGTTACAAAGGAGCCGATTTAAGAATTATTATGTTTTTCACTGACAAAAATATCAGGGACAAAACTGTGAAGAAATTCAGCCTTGTCAGAGCCTTCTTTAGGTGGTTGGGCTAGTTATGTAAAACAGTTACTGATCAGTCTACATTTTTTTAAATGCTACCTGAAAGGGACTGCTCACTAGCATTAAATCTGGAGGGTTTTTAGTTACCTTACTTCAGATAAATAAAAAATAAGGATTTTGTGCTAGAAAAGGGAACACAGAATTCATTTTTGATCTCTTAAACTAGGAGAGTCACTTGGTCCTTAGGCTGATGTAGTAAACTGACTAAAATTAATAGGATTAAAATTAGTCTGACTCTAACTGTTCAAGGTGCACTGGATCATTAAATCAAGTACACATCAAGAAAAGTCCATTCATCTGAAGACAAAACAAATCCTTGCATTGTATCTTAGAGCAGTGGTTCTCAACCTGTGGGTCGGGACCCCATTTGGGGTCGAACGACCATTTCACGGGGGTCGCCAAACAATGCAGTCCGCCATTTTTCCCCCTTTTCCTTAGCTGTGTTACTCCCTTTTATTCTATTGGCTTTTGAAAGCCAATAGAATAGACTCTCTTGAATAGAGTCTAATTCTATTGGCTTTCAAAAGCCAATAGGAATTGTCCAGGCTGTCTCTGCCCTGCTGAGCCTGCCAAAAGTCCCATTCTGCAAACGGTGCTGCACCAGTTGAGTAGTCCTCGACTTACGACCGGTTGAGTAGTCCTCGACTTATGACCGGTTGGGGTCGCGGCATTAAAAAGGTTGAGAACCACTGTCTTAGAGTATAAAATGCAGAACTGCTAACAGTAGGAACGAGAGACATAAAAATTCAGGGCTTTGTACTTTGTACCATGCTCCTTTGCTAAGCATAATGTTTTTTTAGAATTGTTGCATCGTTTTCCTAGACTGTAAATTTTGGAGGAGATACCAATATGAAATAAAGTAAATTATGCCCAACAAGCATTCATATGATTAAAGAGATCAATTTGCCTACAGATCAAGGCCTGTGCTTTCATATCTGAAGAAGCCCCATATCGGAAATGAAATAAAATGGCCAAGATCCTATCTGGTCATTTGCTACAAAGGGCTGATTTTCTTGTATGTTTCAATATGTGAGTTTTAGAGTTCAACATACTGTGTTATGACCATTCAAAAATAAAAAAGCTTATAAAGCAGATTTCCACAAAGGAATACTTTTCTAAAATCTGTTGGACTGCAGCTTTAAAGATCAAAGCTAAAACCCTCAGAAAATGTTGGGCTTTCCCCTCTCTTCTGTTATTGTAGACACAAGACTAATTTTCTTTAAAAACAAGGAAAAGAACAGAAGTTAAGTCTTAACAGATTGCTGGTAATGGCCAAGAATATATAACTATTCAATGCACAGACAATTTAATCTGTCTTCTGAATCTATTGCTAGATTAGATAAGTACCAACTAACTTTGGAAATAAATGTGGTAATGGAATAAGTGTTAATCTTACCAATGCAGCTCTGCAACTATGCTCACTATCAATATGGCCTACCCTTCAGATAAATATAAACATATAGGTAACACAGTCTGGCTACATGGTAATATCTAGATGTCACTAGTAAACTCTTCATTGAGTTCACTTAATTCCTGATAAGAATATGTCCATGTTTGTGTTGTTATGAAAATTGCAGCTTTCAGGATTGATTTCCTATTCAAGTGTAATTAAATTCAAACCTACTTAGATTTTTGAGCTCAAGCACTAGGCTGTTATCACCAGCTGAGGGCTTAAGAACTACGAGGGTCTCCCAAACAAGACCATATTATAAGTGGGGAAGTAAATTCCTATGTTGGGCTTCCTACATAGTCTCCAGAAAAGACATTTGAGACTCTCCTGAAGCCCAGATATTTTGCCACAAATTAATCCATTACTACTTCCCTGATTTATACTTAAGACAACCTTTTTGTATTTATAATATTTCTTTCTTTTGTTTCCATTGAAGCTATTATTTTCAGCCCTATTATTACTAATCTCTTCTTTGTAAATAACCACACCTATTTCAATCCCAAACAGCTAAAGTAAACATTGGCTTCTTTGAGGAAGTACATGCATAATTAGGTTAATCAGTGCTATCTTTTCATGTGAGCTGATTGTTCCTTTACTGTGGATATGTTTCATAATACTGCAGAAAGCTTGCCAAATGTCTCAAAGGCAAACTAGGCACAACTTACCAGGCATTAAACTACTACATACTGAAACCTTGACATAATGGTAAACTGTTAAGAGCCACTCCCACCAGCCACTTATTACTCATTTCTTCTCCCCAGTCACTACCACTTGTTTCACAGTTTTGGACTACACCCTTCTCAAACAAGTACTTTCACTAAACTCATTATACACACACACACAAACACAAGTGTCATCAAGACCTAGAATACCTCAAGCCCAGTTTTATAAAAGTCCATTCTTAGATTACCTGTACAAAGTCCAAGAATGTTAATGGCAATAAGTCATCCAAATGGCCAATATCTTTGGAGAAACGGTTTAGGATTCTTCCTATAAGAAAACAACAAAACTGAGGGTTATTTGATAAAAAAATGGAAAAAAAAGTGTCTTTCAACCTTTAAAAAATGAGAATGGAGAAAATAAATGTGGACCTCGGTCTGAATGTGTTTGCTTGGAAATACATCTAAGAGTATTTGTTCCTCTGAGAAAGATGTCTTCAAGACTAAAGACTTATAGAAGTTCCAGTCAAATAACAATTGTTATATTAGCCACTTCCAATTGCTTCAAAATAAGCAGGATACACATGCAATACATACATTTCAAGCTCAAACTAATTTAAATCTGTGCAGAATAATACATTTTGTTCAATGGTCTAAATAATTAATTTTTATAGTAACCAAAATTTTAGGATGATCATGAAGTAAGAAAATAAATTATATACCTACTTTCTTTTTTAGCAGTGATAGACCTTTTAGTAAGTCTGAAGATACTTATATTGTATAGGTGGCTAAACTGTAAGGTATGCCGCTCTAACAGCTACAGGTATTTTTGAAATCATTTTTAATAGTTTGATTAATGAAAATAAGTTCCAGGAATGAATAGATATCCAACCATACAAGTCTAGCTCAAGTAAACTAATGGACATGGAGTAACATAATATCAGTGAATGAAACACAGATTTCTTCTTTCCTACATGAATAACATTTCTGATGAAATTAAAAGCTACAATCCTATTTTTAATTGCTTAGAAATATTCCTTTAAAAAATTTATGACAAAGTGGAACTTTGGAGAAGCATGTTAACATTTTGCAGTTAACATTTTGCAAAGCTGTGCAGATCTCTCAAAAAACTGACCAGTTAATACCAAACTTTATCTACATGGGTGACAAGCTCCCCCTCATGTGATCTGATCAAGCAGAGGTTAGACAACCATCTGGTCTAGGAAGCTTTAATCTGGATTCCTGATGAGTAGGAATTCCCAGTTCAACCCGAGCATGGGGTTGAATTCAATGACCTAGATGGCCCTTTCCAATTGGACCTATACCAGGGAAATGCTCAGAGAACATACTACTACATCAAAATTATTATGACATAACAAGAAGACATCAAAAGAGCACTTGTGACTGTGTTAACAGTTTCCCCCATCAGTGACATTTGCTGTGCACATTTGAAATGATTTTTTTCAAGTTGGAGAGATTTGTGTTGTCAGAAAACTCCACCATTTCAAATGTTTGAGTGAACTGGTGGTGCCTCAAAGCTACAGGAAGATCTTCATTTTTTTTCTTCAATGATGAATGATATAACTCACTCTGATGGAGCTAACCAACCTCTGTGAGATTTATACAAGGACAGGACTGGTCCAAAACAGTGTTAATGTTTAATTAAGTATTTACACAACTGATTGTTGTTATCATTCTGAATTGAATGAAAGGAAGTCATTATGCTGACTTGTAGCATATTAGATGACAGTGAGAACAATTAATCAGTGGAACAGCTTGTCTTCAGAAGTTGTGAATGCTCCAACACTGGAAGTTTTTAAGAAGAGATTGGACAACCATTTATCTGAAATGGTATAGAGTTGGACTAGAAGACCTCAAAGGACTAGAAGACCTCAAAGGTCCCTTCCAACCCTATTATTATTGTTCTTGTTACTTTGTTTATGAAATGTTGGTTGCTTGTTCCTTCAGATTCCCTTTACGTATCAGTAGAACATTCAAAGAATCTGAAAGGTGACACAATATTGTTCACCTGAATAAATAATAATTATGAATGGACACAATATTGTGGAAAGTTTGGGAGAAGAGGTTACGTTCAGGACATTTTTCAGAGAAAGTACCTACAGCACAATGTCAGGTAACTGATTGCAATGGAATATGTACACTTGCCACAAAGACATCCCAAAAAGATACAAAAGACACTAAAAAAATCTTAGTACATTCTTTCAAATTTAGAACAGCTATTCTAATTAATTCCAGATCTGATGAATTATTTAAATTGCAAAACCTAAATGGAGAATACGAATTCCATGCCTTGAATTTCTTGACAAGAAATTCAAATTCAAATGTGAAAATCAATCAGTTAAAAACAATTTAGACAACAAACCAAGACAACTAATTTAATGTCTCTTTAAGTTGCATGATAAAGAGTACACTCCAAAAGGCAAAACTGGACAAAGAAAAAACCACTACCATTTAAATTTCATTGAATTAGATTTATATTTACATTTATTCAAATTAAGGATATATAACAAAATGAATGCATTATTTGTATCTTACATTTACAGCCTTCCTTTTCTGATACAGTTAATATAATTAGAATCTATGTTTAATTTTTCTATTTTCATTTTTTTGTGTGTTTTGTTAAAAATGACAATTCCTCATCTTTAGCAGAGGTTGTAGGGCCACATAGATGATAAACCAGTCATATAGTGGGAAGATTTTTCCCTGTGACTCAAATGTTGTACCCTCTAAATCAGGGGTCCCCATCCCCTGGTCTGTGGACCAGTACTGGGCCATGGCATGCCAGCAACCGGGCCACACAAACAAACAAAGTCCTATCCATGGGATGCAGGCAGCATACAAAAACACACCCTCCGGTCCACGGAAAAACCTCTCTACGTGTAACTGGTCCCTGATGCCCAAAACGTTGAGGACCTCTGTTCTAGATGTAGGGATTACAACAAGAAGAATTCCTAGCCATCCTATTTGGAAATTCCAGTTCTGCAATTTCTGTTTGTGTGGTAAATAAATGCCAACATTTCTACTACTTAGAAGAAGCTATTATCATCTAATAGCAAATATTATAGTATGGCAGGTTATAAGCTGATTACTCTTCATATTAGCCTGAGGTTTTTATTTCTCATAATTTAAAAAAAAAAACTTTTTCAAATATATGAACTTGTTAACTTCTGCTAATGTTTGCTGGCATGCATAAAACTTAAACTGAGTCAGTTTAGGCATAAACTCCACAGCAGATGATAATAATGATGATCGTCATAATCTTGAATTAATCCACTCCAACAAAAGGCCTCTTTATTGAAAATTATGGGCTGTCATATATAACCTGTCACATACATATTTGTTTCTTGAGACATATGGAAAAACTGTATGTGAACCACAAGCAGGCCTGTGGAATATGAGGCCTGGTAGTGGACCAAGGCTTGCTGGCCACCGGGCCACGGGACAGGCTGGCTAGTGTGCGCACGTGTGCGCCTACACCCCCTCACTTGCACTAGCACCATGGGGCACAAAAACAGGACGCTGTACTACAGGGCATAAAAACAGGATGCCACTGTGCCTCGGGGTGTGAAAATGGGATGTCGACATGCCCTGCGAAAAATGGGCATGACACATTGCGGAGTGCAAAAACCGGATGACAATGTGCTGCAAGGCACAAAAATGGATGATGATGCCCCGTGGGGTATGGAAATGGGCCACTGCCACACCATGGGGTGCAAAAACAGGGCACCACCACATCATGGGGCACACAAACGGGCCACTACCACACTGCAAGGCGCAAAAATGGCCACTGCACTGCAGGGTGCAGAAACAAGGCGCTGTGCCATGCAAGAACAGGGCAGGGCTACTGAGTATCATGTGGGCACTAGCCTCATCCCATTTGCGGCACATGCGTGCTCACAGCCCCATGCGTATACATACACATGTAAAATGCTTTCCCCTCCCTTTTCCTCCAGTCCGCCAAACAACAACACTTGGTGACTTCTGGAATATGGGATAAATGTCCATAAAGCAAAGCATGTCAGGTCCTATTTCATTCTCTTTCAAAGAGGATGGGATTTTTTTCCTTTACAAATTTATTAGTCCCTCCATAAACTTTTCTCTTTTTTTAACAATATTTTATTATTATTTTATAATCACAAATCCTTAATATTTTATCAGCAACATGTTGTCTGGGTTCCAATATTTAGCTTACTAATACATATTAAACTCCTTTCTCTTTACCTCATTTTTTTAGCCATTGGTAAAATGTATCCCATGTTCTAAAGTATTCTGAATCTTCTTTCTGTTTCATTTTCAGTGTAAGTCTGTCCATTTCTGCATAGTCCAAGATTTTCTTAATTATCTCTTCATCTTTCCAAAGTTGAGCAAATACAATTCTCGCTGCAGTTAGTAGTTTTTCTTCCATCTTTAAACTTAACGTATATTTTATGCAGTTTCCTAATCAATTTTTCATCTGATGTCAATAGTATCTGGTCAAATTCTGTTTGTTCTTTATAAAACCCAGATGTTTTAGCATCTTTTTCATATCTCGTTTGAATTTGCAGGTGTGGCCACCATGATAGATCAATGCCCTGTTCTTCCAATTCTTGTCTAGATTTTGGTTTCTCTTCAATATTCAAAATGTCTTTATAAGTCACAATTTTCTCATAGTTAATTAAGTTTGGGTGAACAAACGCTTCCATTGTTGAAAGCCATCCAGGTATTTTCATGTAAATTTTCGCTTTTACCTTTTCACATTCTAGAAGTGTATTTCTTATATAGTGGTTTTGAAAGTATCTATTTTATTCTTTCCATACCATAGGAAGACATGCCATCCAAGTTGTAGGTCATGCCCCTCTAGGTATACTAATCTTTTATGTCTAAGTGTTATCTATTCTTTTAACCATGTTAATACAGATGCTTGATAATATAAAGCCCAATCTGGCAGCCCGAATCCTCCATTTTCTTTCGCTTCTTGTAGCATTTTCAATCTTAATTCTGGCTTTTAACCTTGCCAAATAAATTTCAAGATAAGTGTATTTAATTCATCAAAGAATTTTCCCCCAGTTTTATAGGTATTGTTTGAAATAAAAAGAGTAATCTTGGTAAAATATTCATCTTCACTGTTGCTATTCTCCCTAGCATTGAAAGTTGTAGATTTTTCCATTTTTCCAAGTCTAGTTTTATTTGTTTTAATAATTTTACATAGTTGTCTTCTTTTATTGTTGCACATCTTGCTGTTAAGTATATCCCCAAGTATTTAACTTTCTTAATTATTTGAAGATCTGTTTCTTCTGACAATTGATTTTGTTGTTTATCTCTAAGGTGTTT